TAACCCCATGGCTGGCAAATACTGTCTTCATAAAGTGCTTTGACATCTCCATGGGAACAAAAATCAAGGTCATAAATAAGGGATTAGTTCCGCTGAACAGACAGCAAAGCAAAAAAAAAAAAAAAAAAGGCAACAAGAGTTTTAAGTTTCCCCATTAAGGAACTAGGTGAGAAAGCAGGATGGAGAGGAGAAAAAAAGACTGGAAGACTAGAAGAAAGAAGGCACAAAATTTAAGTAAACCACGACCGTGCAGGCAAAGAAAAAAAAGGGGAAGACAGACTAAGTGCCACCCTCATGTTCCCTTTGCCACCTATTGATGCTAACAAGCTAGCTTATCTATTCTGTAGCTCACATCAGTGTTTGCCAATTGCCGAATGATTAAAAATGGACAACAGATATGAAAATTAAAGGCAAGGGGGTGGAAAAAAATGAAGATGTAAAGACTAAAAAAGAGCCAAGTGGTTTGTATGATACATGGCTCTTTCTTTTTTACAAAAACTACTGATTCATTATATGTAGGAAAATAGATCAACTAAGCACAAGTTTATCAACTAAAAGATCAGTGGGTTCTGATACCCATATATTAGACAGGCTTCTACTCCAATCAGAGGGATGTGATATACCACAAATTGGATCAGGGATATATTTGTTGTCTTCACCCCTTTAGGCTTGGATACTTATCATCTCTATTGGAAAGAACAGCCTACTGGGATCTGAAGTCACAGATCCTGAATCACAGATTGTCTTATTCCCTCCTGGGCTCCAATGTACATATTGTAAAAGCAGAACTGCTAAGTTTATAATGAAGGCAGTTAAAATAAGATCCTGATACATTGAACAAATTGGTGTTCCCTGTTACAGTGATGCATTTATTTGATTGCTGACTCTTGTATTACCACATATGCATTTTTATCATAGCATTTTCTTTTATCTTTTTAATCCCAGAACCAGATCACGTATTTTTGTTTTCTTTTACTGATACGGTCGCAAGGCTAATCTTCTATATAGATATAAATGCGAAATACCACTCACGCATCATCACAAAATCTCCAGAACCATAAAGCCTACAAACTTGAAATTTGGCACGTATGTTTCCCTTGGCTTCTAGATGCTCACTAAGAAAGGATTTTTCCAAATGACCACCAGAGCATTAGTATTTCCTATATTATTATTAACACGCTCTGATGCTAAGGAGTTTTACTCCCCCTCCTCACCTGAAAAGAAATCTGTTCCAAATGCAAAACAGGAGGAGTTTCAGTTTCAGGGCAGCAACCAGCTTTAGTACAGAACCGTTGAGCTAAGCCATGCCCAGGCTCCTTGCTGTCTCCTTGCTCACACAGCAAAAACTGTTTCAGTTTCCAAACAGCCCTTAACTCTAACCATATGAATACCGATGGATGCTGGTAGGCAGAGGTAGAATTTCCCCCCCTCATTTTCCTCGCCCAAAACTAAGCCCAACCACATAGTTTCATAGCGAAGCACGGGTATCGAACTAGTCAATTAATAAACTAAACCATACTAAACTATACAGGTAGTCCTTGACTTACCACCATTTATATAGCGACTGTTTGCAGTTACAGCACTGAAAAAAGTGACTTATGACCATTTTTCACATTTAACAACCATTGCAGTATCTCCACAGTCACATGATCAAATTTTGGATGCTTGCAACTGGCATATATTTATGACACTTGCACTGTCCTGCGGTCATATGACCACCATTTATAATTTTCTCAGCTGGCTTCCAACAAGCAAAGTTAATGGGGGAAGCTGGATTTGCTTAATGACCGAATGATCCACTCAACAACTGCAGTGATTCATTTAACAATTGTGGCAAGAAAGATTGTAAAATGGGGCAAATTTGGGCTCAATTGTGATCATAGGTTGAGGACTACCTGAACCATTTTTGTAGGTCCCCTTCTAAGGATCCTAAACATTTCCCCTCCCTCTCACCCACTTAGTAGCCAAAGAACACCTGACCTGTTGAGGATATGGTTAGGTTTGGGAACAAAATCTTCAGGAAATTTATGATCTGGCAGCAAACCTAAAAATGGGATGGGGGTGAGTGGAAGGGGAGAGAGAAAGGAAGAAAATTAAGCAATTTCCTAAATATGCATCCAATTCTAGTATATAAGTTACGTTACAAACTCAAATACAATTACCCCTTCGTCTCCAATAAATGGAAATCTTGTTAGTCTTGTTTATTTTCAAAGCATAAAAATCAGCTGCAAATGATTATTTGAAGTGTCTAAAACCTTATGGGATAGTAGGTTGATCACATTGTAGCAATTTGATTTTAAACAGAATCTTGGTATATACATGCTACAGTCCATCAGATTTGTAGCTTCCATTTATTACCAAAATGTTGTTGAGTTTTAGTTCCTTACCTTGATTACTAAACTGTTGCTGACATTTAGTTGCCTAACTTTTTGCCTCCTTATATCTTGCACAATGAAATAAGACCAAAGAGATTGGATCTCCCTCAATTTGCTTTGTCACACTGGAGCTAACAGGATTAACAGGATCTCTTGCACAGGGTCTCTATTATTAATCCACTTGCTGATGTATCTTGCTATGGATTGCTACAAAGTTCTATCACAGTTTAACCTTAAACAGTAGAACTGAAACTCTCCTGCGGGGATGTTAGCAAGCAGTGAAAACAGGGTTAGTAAATATCATTGAGAATGATGTTTCAGAGCAACTAAGATTCATTTTTTTCCCAGCCGATTCTTATTCACACAAAAGCGAAACAAGGAAACAGAAAGTAGTTACCTGCTCGGTGAGCCATTTGCACGCACACTCTAATCTTTTTGTGCTCTTCCTCACAAAGGCCCGTGATGCTACGAGGAATCATTTCTCCTTCAGAGGTTATGAACTGACTTAGCAGTAAGACGTCCTAAGGAAGCATACCAAACAAATCCAGAAGTACCATTTCAGTTAAGCTCGCAAGCGATAGGGACACACAAAAGCTTCTGAAAAGCATCATGAAATTAGCTACCTGAATGTTTCTGTATAAACCATATGTGCATCACTATCAAATATTTTGCTCTGCTCCCTATGCTCAAATTATTCCCTGATAGTGCTTAGAAATGCAAAGGAGGATACATGAAGCCATGAAGAGCCAAAAGTGTGAGGGTTTTGCTATGAGCAAGGTCTTCAGTTTTCATTGTATTATTTCTGTATTAATAATATTCTCTTAATTGCATGCCTAGTGCATTGAATTTGACAACTGCATATCATAAATGGATTCTCCATGCCCTTTCTACAGCTAAAAGACTGATATTGCAACATTAGAAAGGTAAAAACAGTATACGGCCAATTTATTCAATGGATTGAAGATCTGCTTACACTTGCTATTTATGAGTGGACTGTCTACAGTTGTACACTTTGTATGGATAAATATAAAATATGATTCAATGATACAAAATATAGCAGGTAAAAAACATGATCATTATCTAAGTGTATTAGAAATGGATGTATTTGCCTGTTTGCATTAGATAATTATATGTAGACTTATACTTGTTTACTATTGTAATGACATATTATACTTTTTTCTGATGTATTTTGTCACTTATTTTTTAAACACTTGTTATAACAGAATAACCAAGTTGGAAGGGATCTTGAAGGTCTTCCAATCCAACCCCCTGCTAAGGCAGGAAAACCTATACCATTTCTGACAAATGGTTGTCCAATCTCTTCTTAAAAACTTCCAGTGTTGGAGCATTTACCACTTTTGGAGGTAAACTGATTACCATATTTCTTTGGACCATAAGACACACTGGACCATAAGACGCACCTAGGTTTAGAGAAGGGAAAAAAAAAATAGGTTTGGTCCTCCAGGCATCCTGTTTTTGGTCTCCCCAGTGTCTAGAAGCACTCTGCAAGCCAAAAATGGGCCTATTTTTGCTCTCCCAAACCCTCCATGTGTCCTGTTTTCACCTCTCCAGCGTCCACAAGCACTCTGCAGGCCAAAAAATGGCCCGTTTTTGGCCTGCAGAGTTCTTCTCGAAGCTGGGAAAGGCCAAAAACAGGATGCACAGAGGGTTTGGGAGGCCAAAAACAGGCCCGTATTTGCTCTATAACACGCACAGACATTTCCATCCACTTTTGGGGTGTGTGTGCATCTTATAGTCTGAAAAACACAGTAATTGCTCCATCAGAAAATTTATCCTTAGTTCTAGATTCTCTCTTTGAGTGGTTTTCATCCATTGCTTCTTGTCTTGCCTTCAGGTGCTTTGGAGAATAGCTGGACTCCCTCTTCTTTGTGGCAACCCCTGAGATATTGGAACACTGCTATCATGTCACCCCTAGTCCTTCTTTTCATTAAACTAGACATTTCCAATTCCAGCAACCGTTCTTCATATGTTTGAGCCTCCAGTCCCCTAATCATCTTTGTTGCACTCTTTCTAAAGTCTCAACATCTTTTTTACATTGTACAACCAAAACTGGATGCAGTATTCCCAGTGTGGTTTTACCAAGGAATTATAAAGTGGTATTAACATGCCATGTTCTATCCCTCTGTTAACAACTTTTGTTTTGCCTTTTTTTTTTTGATGATGTACACATCTTTGTGTTTTGTTTCTTTTTCTGTTTTACCTTTGTAGAAATAAAATTGATTAAAAAAAGAACTTGAGAATGCTCTAATTTTCTAGATACTTGAATTTTTCCCAACTAATAAAAATATGATTTCACTCAAGGTTTTTCTTCAGAAGAGAAGAAATGTAACACTACAACCTATCTTGGAATGTATTCCAGGGCATTCAACTAACGTTCTCCGGCAATAATTATAAGGCAAGCCAAGCCACAAGGAGCATTTCTAGATGTTCTTGGGTGAAAGGATAACTAGAATATTTAAAGTTACTAAATTACTGTTACAAAGTTATACAGAACTAAGACAAAACAACAAGTCATGGAGTAATCTAATACTAAAGTTTAAAAAAACACATTAGCAAAAACATGAAAACGATGTTCTATATTGTTCTCAGTTTGTTTTACACTGTATTTAAGAAATATAAACTTCAAACATAGCAGATACCTGTTTGCATCTACTATCTACTTATTTGTCAAGATTACTGAGTTTGGAATCAAGCAGCCAGAATTTAGAAGAATTACAAGCAGAATTATTAATAACATAAACTATTCACAGGACAAATTAATTTACTCAGCTGAAAATAACCTTTGAGCAATGCTAAATCTGCCCTTTTCTGCCTCAGATGAACTAATATTTGAAATTCCAGAATTATAGCACACATGGATCACAATAGGAGAATGCCCAGATTGCATACCAGGTCTGTCTGGGGTAGTGCAACCCCATCCAGAACTAAGGATGGTAAATCTACGGATCCTGAGAGTCCTTAAACTCACAGCCATTTCATCTTACCAGGGTTCGGCTGAAGCCACACATCCTTTGTACATGGTAACCGCAGCAAGATTATTATATGCAAAAGATGGAAAGATTAGATACTACCCAGGAATGGATGGTGAGGATGATGGAATTTGCTGAGATGGTCAAACTGACCCCTTTGATCAGAGAAAAGCCATGTTTATTTAATTGTTGACTGGAAACGCTTATAGATTTTGTGCGTGAAACATAAACAAGTAAATTTATGGTTGATTTAGATGATTAGTAAAAAGAGGTTTCAGAAAAAAGACTGGTATGTTGTAATCATAGAGAAAAAGTAAAATGCACATTTATACTTATAACTGCTGTAAAGAAAACCAGAAGCTGCTTTTTCATATTTCTTTCTTTTGCACTTTTGACTTAGTCTTTCTTTTCTTTTTCTTTTCCCCCTCTTACCTTTATTGTATATTAGTTGTTAGTTTTTATCTTTTTAAATTTTCTAATACACAAACAGACCCCAAGTCCAACAATGTAGTGTTGCTCATTCAGAGTTCATCTATGCTGCAAGGCAGTGCAAAGATACGGTGTTTTAGGGCAACAGAGAAACAAGTGCAAAAGGGTTAAAAGAGAAAGTATTCTGGCAGAGATTAGCACTGCCGTCATGTTCCATGAAATTAACACTGTGTGCTAATGGGCAGCCAAGACTGCAACTACAGCTTTGCTTTAATCATTGGACAGCTCCTGGGAGAGGCTGAATCCTGATTCCCACCCCTGTAATCTGTAGGATCTGATGAAAACAACTTGGATTGAATTAATTTGGAACTCAGAAGCAAAGCCTGGAGTTTGCTCTTCATTCTCCACTGCCAAAGTGAGGGATGACATTTACTCATGGTCAGACTAATCGTGTTCCAAGCAAGAGAAGAGGAAATAAAAAGTTTTGCCTTCATCTGGACAGAGTATTTGATTTCTCCTGCTTAGGTAAACAAAATCCATCATGAACAATGTATTCTCTGGAAGCAGAAATCTGGCTGGAATTGTGGACAGGACCAATACCCAAGGCCACCTGGATTCCTGACAAGCGCTAATAATTTGACTAAACGACCTTCGAGATTTGTTTATACAACCAGGGCACTCTTCTCATGCCATGCTATTATTTTGGGTTGCACAAGAGCTGCTGCCTATTGTAGCACTCTTTTGGCAATTCTAACCACCTCTGTTTTAAACAAAGCCATATTTAAAAAAAACTAAACATAATTAAGTGACTAGGATATTATTAAATTTAAAAAACTGTAACAAAAACAAAGTTCCCTTTATCTTCAAAACAGAATGAACTTCTTTTAATTCTTTCAATGCCATAAACTTTTCAAATCATCTAAAGTCTCCTGGTGTGCTGTTACGTGGAAAAAAAGAAGATGAATTGGTGAGTTTTTAATTGCAGGGCCAAGCAGAGAAGGAGTTCAAGGCCAGGTTCTGAATAGGAAAAAAAAAAATCACTTGGTTTTGTTTTCAGAAGCTCTGTTTCAAGGGCCCCATGGGCCAGGTCTCACCCACATTCTCTAAAGGGGCTTCGAAAGAGAAAGCAGTTGGAGTAGAGGCATGCTGGGAAAGTAACTGATAGAGGGACTCTAGGGAAGCAGTTCTCCTTGTGCATGTGCAGGCTAGATTAAGCAAGAAAATCACATGTTCTCTGTCCTTGCATTAAAGCACTTTAATAAGAATTTCTAATGATGCAACAACTATTGTGGCTCTTTCTTTTCCAAAGGAGGTATGTGTTCCATTAAAAAACTGACACAAATGGTTATGGAATACTTATTTCAAAGTATTCAACTCTCCAGTGCTAAGTGAACAGTGCCCCAGAGAAAGAGAGTCTTGTAAGAAATGTCTGCTCATAATTGTTCAAAAAATTCAGGATTTTAAAACTGGTCTATGTGTGACCATTTATAAGTTTCGAAGTCAGATTTTATTTTTCAGTCTGATATTTTATCTCAGTCGCCTAGTTTGCTATTTTTTAAAAAGTGCAATATATCTGGGTGGGGGAACAAATGTTGCAAAGTTGGCTGTGGCAGTCCAACGATTTTTTATAAATATGAAGGATTGCTGATGTAATATTTGTGTGGAGTTAAAAGCATCGCTGCAAATTCTCTTTCCTCCTATTTCATGGGCATAATCTATCCATGCACTATAAAGAGTTGCATTGCCAAAATATTCTGTTGATCTTTTTTGTGATACTGAGGCTGCAGAATCATGGGATGGATTATACACCAAATAAAATGACACTGCGTATTTGAAATTCGATTTATATCCAGCCTTCCTTAAACAATGCTGCTAAAACTATTTAATAACTTTCCTTGAACTGCCTTTTTATCAGCCAGGGACACAGCTGTCTAGTTTGGATTAAGTATCAATTTCTTTTTCTTCACCCAGTCCATGATTAATATGGGTCTTCAACAGTTTGTGATATTTTACTCTTGAGAATTTTAACTACAGCTGGAAAGATATTGTCTACATCCAAGGCTTACTCACTGGAAAAAGGTAGACCTAGAATACTAATTTCTTTTATTTATCTTGGAAACCTTATTGCCCACTCACCAGAAATTGCTGGAAATAGTAGGCCTCTAATTGGGACTTGGTTTTCTTAAATGTGCAATTAGTCACAAAAGCAATGATTTAATGAAATAACTTATAGTTCCAAAGAATGCTTGTTCAGTATGAAATCCAAACATGCACAAGTCATATTACATTCAACAACATGGCTGGTCAGCAATGTGAAAATAAACTGAGCTCCAGCGATCTACAGATTCTAGTTCTGCTACATACATAATTGTTCACCAATGTCCCCAAGAAGAAATGAAATAGTTATTATACTTTGGTCTTTCTAGGTAAGATTGGGGTAGATTTCAGTTTTAAGATGCTGGAAATCAGTTAGTTTATGTAAATAACTTTATAAATGTCCTAGTTTTCCATCCTAGAAGATGAAAACCTTTTCCTGTCATATATCATGTTATCAGATTTATGAAAGAGGTCATTTTGCCAGCAAACTTCAGTAGAGAGTTTAACTTATATGTGCTTGTGTGTGCACAGTACAGTTACATATATATTAATGTTGTGCATACTACATATACGCATTATGATCGTATCCTTTACTTCAATTCTCTTCCTCTGAAAAATTCCTGCCAACTACCCTGATTATAAAAGAATTGGCATTTTTGCTTGCTAATTCTGCTTTTCTTCTATTTTCTTTTCCTTTTTGTGTGATGCCTCTAAGAATGTAAATTATTATTTTCAACTAAAAGCAATGTTCTAGGCATTAGGTTTTCCTGGTATGTAATTTAGCAGTAACAAAGTGCGCATATAATTTTGCTTCTCAGCAATCCTGACATTTTGTGCAAAGAAGAGTTGACCTCTAGGAGTTTATTATTTCATTAGACAATACCGAGCATACAATTATGAGAATGATCTAGAAATAACTGGACTTAGCTATACTTTATCCTCAGCAGGATGTCAGCATGGCTATATTTTAGCAAGTATTAGAATAAAAACTCACCATATAATCGTACTTGTGTTTCAAGTTCCAGCGACAAATAGGACAGTTACCAGAAGGATTTGGAGGGCTTGGGATTTCCACACCGTCTATAATTTTGCCTTCAATCTAAAATATTAAGAGCAAACCGATGAGGGAAATTTTGAGTCCAAGTTTCAAAACTACTGTTTGATTACCTACATTAATTTATTCAGCACGTGCAACATCAATATATCAAACTGCAGAAAAGGATAATTAGACTTAGCTGCTACCAACTTATGGTACATTTCAGAGAATGAACTTGAAAAAAGCGAAAAATATTCTGAATTTTAAGTAGCAGCTTGCAAGTACCACTTTGTTCTGAAATACTAGAAACAGATACTAGACAGGATCTTATTAGAAGGATCCTGTCTTAGAAAGGGTACACATCCTATCTATTCTAGCCAATAACTCCTCCTCAAAGCAATGGAGCCCACAGTCCCTCCTAATCATGCTCAAAGATGCAACTTATCTCATAATTGCTTCTTGAATTACTAGGATGTTGCACATTTTCCAAAGCTGCTCCACTAACTTTCAAGTATTTAAAGTTATGGGAATTCATAACGTTTTCTTTGAGGAAGTATTTTAACAAAAAATTGACAAAAGGCATTTTCTGTCAAGTAGGTTCCTGTTTGTATTCTAAAACGTCTGAAGACATATTTGCAAATTATCATGGACATAATCACTAAGTATTGGACTTGGATATCTGTTTGTTGCAAAAGATATTTAATCATTTTCTGGGAAAGATTTAAAGGCAGAAGCTGGGTTTAAGATCCAAATGCTTAAAGCCCTTATTTTTATTTTCTCTTCGGTTCAATAAGGTATTTCTAAAAATAAAACTTGTCTTCTGAAAGTGCTTTGAATTTTGTTCCTGACCTTTTTTTGCTGCCCACAAGCCAGTCTTAAACATTATTTAGTACTGCTAATAAGAAAAATCAGGGATAGAGTTGTAGGACTAGTAACCCACACTAACATAGACAAGGTTGCCACCTTGAAATGACTTATTCATAAGGTGGGTAAATAAAAGAACTGAATTTTTTAGATGCTAAAACTTGACTCTTTATGTAAAATGAGTTATTAGTTCAAGCCTCAAATTGATTTAAGATGGTTATTAATACACAAGAATTATATTCAAATGAATCAATCAATCAGAATAAAGCTGGAAGGAATTTTCTAGTGTAGCCTTCTGCTCAAGAGGAGACTACACAATTTCAGACAAATGACTCTCCAGTCTCTTCTTAAAAACCTCCAGTGATGAATGTTAGTGTCACTTGGCTCAAAAAATTGTATAGTAATTTAGACAGTAAAAGCCTTCATTACACAACTCCATATGAAGTATAAATTACTTTGGAAAGGTCCTGAAAATTAAAATGTATGACCATGTCTTCACCACAAGTGTTTTCACAAAGCCATGCTAAGTGCTGAATGGGAAGGTAATGCACTTTTCTCACAAGAGTTCTCTCTTTGCCTTTGTTTTTCAACTTGACATTTATGATACCAAGGAGAGAAGCAAACTATCCAGGAAAACATTCTCACATTACACTGATAAACGAGGAGAGAAATAAAAATCAAAATTTGCAAAGCTTATTTAATTTTACCGTATTTGCCGGCGTATAAGACGACCCGGCGTATAAGACGACCCCCCACCACCACCGGAAACGCCCTCCAGAAATCCCCGGGGCTGCAGCGGCAGGGCAGAGTGCCAGGGGCCGTGGGAAGAGCAGGAAGGCTGCAGCCTCGGGCGGAGCGAGGCGAGCGGGATGAAGCGGAAGCGACGCAGGGGATCCAGGAAGCCAGAGGCGCCTTCGCTGCGTCCAACAAGCATCCGAAAGCCGGCAGTGGATATACCGGCGTATAAGACGACCCCCCCACTTGGAGGCATGTTTTTCGGGGCAAAAAAGTCATCTTATACGCCGGCAAATACGGTATCTGTATTATGTTCTTAACATCACAGAGTATTCTTTTTCTTGTGAGTATATTCAATCAGCAGCAATTGTTTCAGTAGTTTTAAAGAGGGTCTTGAAGTCCATAGACTTTATTCAGACCTGCAGACATCCCTAACCTGTAAGAAACTATGGTTTTTAACTGAAGTAACAAGGGATTATAATAGCAAGTTCTGAGAACATATTCAGAAGGTTAACATAAAGAGTTAGTAAGCTTTGTTTATAACCATACCAAGATTTAAATGCATATTGATTATTCACTGAAGGTTACTGTTCCATTCTCAGTTGAAAGTTAATAGTTTATTAAAGTTAATATTTGAAATTCAGAAAATAGAGCATGCTTACCGTTGTGGTGTTCCCTTCAGTAGTTTCTACAACTGCAAACACAAAAATGTGAAGAAAATGTTAGATGTATTTAAATCCAGTAAAAAAAACTGGGATCATAAAGAGCATTTTACAATTGCTGTGTGACCTAGTAATAAATATAATATTAGAATAGAAATGATATTTGAAGTAGTTAATATGAAATCCAATACTCAGCATTCATCCAAATATTTTATCTAATATTATTCCACAAAACCCTCAGAGAGGGCAATTAAAACAAATTCAGTTTATATGAAAGGGAAAAAATGCCTATTTTCCAGATTACTGAAACATTATACATACAGTAATCATCAGCAATAATTATGTGAGAATAACCTGAACCAATTAGCCTACCAAGTATTTTCAGGCTGAAAAAAATAGGTAGCATGTAAATTTCGAAATGTCTTGCCATTTTGGGGAATGTAGACATGATCCTCAACTAAGTGGAACAACTTGATATTCTGGGGAACTGAGAAATAAACAAGCTGAAAAGTGTCTATGACACAAGTGATGGAAGAGTCATCACAATGTACAGTCTCTTGTCAAAGCTTCTTATCATTATGGGTGTGGGGTAAGCAAAATTTATCTTCTTTTTCGACATCTCAGACAATACTTCCTAATAGTTCAGTACTCTTCATACTATAAATTATCTTCTTTTATGATATTCACAAATGGTGAAAATGCAATCACTAATAGCCACATAGTGGAAAGATATTTATTTGGCCCTAGTTAATGAATGAATTTCAAATCCTGAAGTCCAATACATGAAAAAGCTGGGTGGTTATGTATAATCCATTTTATGTGTGTTTTATTTTGCTCTTGCCTAATAGTTTCAAACACCCAGAATGTGTATTCATGTCTCCTTTAGAAAAGGTAACAGCTCAATTTCAGGAATGTTTCTTTGAAAATCTCACTCTCTGTCCCAACTTTGTCCATTTAACAATTGCAAAGAATTAAAGCCATTCATTCTGGAGTAAAAGGGAACAGCGAACCTTCTCTTGTATCCAGTGTTTTCCTTATTTCTTCTTGCCCTTGTTTTCAGCTAGGATGGGGTCAATCATTTCCCCTAACAGATTCTTTTCTACATAAGTTTTGTCCACAGGCTTGTTCTATATGACTGAGTGGCTTTGATGCTCCCTGAACTTGATTGTTTTCTTGCAGACATTTCATTACCCAAACTAGTGTAGGTTTTATTATGAATGCAGCAATTACATTTTGTGATGTGGGTAGTGTCAGCTGGTCTGTGAACAACGAAATGTAGTAGAAAGTTTACTAAAGGGGGTGAAAATGGAGTAATTTCAAGATGTGAAAATGCTGATTTAAAGTAGCACTGTTAAAAGACACAAAAATGTCTGCAAATAAGAGTGAACTCCTGCCCCACTTGGTTATATGAGAGAGGTTGTTATGTTGGGGAAACATACATATTGATTATAGAGAGAATAGAATGCTTAAGAGATGGTATGATAAAGAACAGATTGGGTAGAAAATGAATAGATACTGCAATAAGTCCATTAAGATGGTTTTGATCACATGAAGAGCATGAATGAGAATTCAGTGGTAAAACAGAGGAGGATTAAATGGGTTGAGAAGAAATGGGACCTGGATAAATTATTGCTAATTAGATGATGTGATCCTCAATCAGAACAAAACACAATAAAAATGGGAGAAAGAGCCAAAGAGAATATATGAAACATTTGGACATGACGGAAGCAAAGAGAACTCAGTTAAGTATAAAGATATGGATAAGCTCAGAAAATAGTGTTGTGTGATCTTGGTTTCTTTCTTTCTTATTCTGTTCTTGCCAATCCAAAGGAATGTTGAAAACAGACTGTGTAAATGGACCTGAGACACTTACTGTTAGCAGAGGAACTTTTTGAAATCAAAGTGAAATGGACCAAATGTGATACGGAAGAAGTTGCCATGGAAAAGATAGAATTTGAAAATGTATCAAATCCCATCAACTACGGAGCAAAATAAACAAAACCCATCAATACACTTACATGAGAGATACAGCTTAAAAAACCCCAGCCTTTAGAGCAGACCTGGGCATTTTGTGGCCTGCAAGCCACATTGAGCCCTTTGGCTGTCCCTGTCCAGCCAACATTGTCGGTGTCATTGGTATTGGGAGGGGGCATTGATAGTGGGGAAGTGGTGGCAGGGCATCAGTGGGGAGTGAGGCAGCATCAGTGGCTCTCCACAATTGCCTCAATTTCTCATGTAGCCCCTTGGAAAAATTAATTGTCCACCCCTGCTCTACAGCAGTCAATGATATCAGGATTCCTGCACATATTGCAGACCTACTGCACTCTTACACAGAAAAACTAAAGTTGTACTGTGCAACTATTGTGGAGAAAAAACACTAAAATACTACTCGTATTTCTCCCTAAAATGCTTAAAGGAAAGAAAGGAAACATATTCAATCAATGAAAAATTGGGACAAGAAAATAAGAAGAGCACATCTTTATGCTGAGTCATATTATGAGCATATTTATCACAGCATGTTTCTCAATGGTAGCAGTTTTCTGGTTTCCAATAAATGTTTTTTTTTTCAGCCTTAACCTGGAGAAGCAGGGATTAACTTTGTATAGATAATCATATGGTCTACAACCTCCCCTCCCTTAAGAAAATCCTTAACAAAAAATGGGGAAACCTGAAGATCTATCAGAATTTGAACTGAACCTCTAGATATGCTTCTTGACCTTTTTCTTTCAGAATCTTTTCCAATTATTAAAAATTACAGAGGATTCCAAAAGAGCTTGTTTGCAGGGGTTATATTTATTGACATTTACTGGATTAAAAATTAACATTGATGCATACGTTGCCAATACATTTCTTACATTATTTGATGGGGTTTTAATATTGTATTATTTTTCAACACTGTCTGGCAAATAATTTTGATTTCTTGGACCCTTTCAATGGACCCAATGAATCCTAGCACATTTCAATTAACACTGATTAGACATTTGATACTATTTTAAGACTACTAATTCCACATTCTTACTATGGCAGTTTTCCCCAGCTTAAATGTGCTGGATTTCCCCCCTTATAATCCGTATCCATGAGGGCACTGTCTCTATTATTTGCATCTATTTATTTATTTATTGAATTTATATTGCTGCCTATTTGCCCATGGTGACTTGAGGCGGCTTACAGAATGTAAAACCATATTTTTTAAAAAAACAATAAAACTTACAAAAAGAATCAAATAAATTAATAAAATACAATAGAACAAAATATGGGGAAAAATAAATAAAAAATCACCCCTCAACTCCCCACCCCAACGACAGATCACACGAGCCATTTGATGGGCTCCATCCTGCTCTGGATTCCCCAGGTCCGCTGGCAGAACCAGATCTCCAGTGCCTTCCAGAAGAATATTAGAGAGGGGGCCATTCTAATCTCTAGGGGAATGATGTTCCAGAGAGAGGGAGAAGGCCCTTCTTTCGGGTCCCACCAGGTGTATCTCCCTCAGGGATGGGACCCGCAGCATTCCCTGCCTCCCAGCTCTAATGATGTGACCAGCAAGAGACCATCCCTCAGATAACCTATGTTTATGTTTAATATAAATACATAATATAATCTATGTTTACACTTGAATTTTTCAATACAGGCAGTCCTCGATTTACGACCACAATTGAGCCCAAAATTTCTGTTGCTAGGTGAAATGCTTGTTAAGAAGAGTTTTGCCTCATTTTACAACTTTTCTTGTCACAGTTATTAATTAAATAACATGGCTGTTAAGTGAATCGGTTTCCCCATTGACTGCTTGTCAGTGGCGATGACATGATCCTGGGACACTGCAATTGTCATAAATATGAGTCAACTGCCAAGCATCTGAATTTTGATCAGGTGACCACAGGGATGCCTCAACGGTTAAGTGTGAACAATGACCATAAGTCACTTTTTTCAGTGTCATTGTAACTTTGAACGGTCACTACATGAACTGTTGAAAGTCGAGGACTATCTGCACTTCCAGTGCATTTGCTACGACAGAGTTAATTCTCCGACCATAAAGACCCCGGAGAAGGAGGAGAAAGAAAAGAGATGGTGAAGATACCCCATTGGGATTTTACAGATTTGTGTACTTGGTAGGATGGTCTTGTCTTTCTACCTTGCATTAGCCGGGCATCCCAGGGATTACGAGTACGTGCACCGACCTATCCATCCATCCATCCCCGGACTCTTAAGACGGTAAAAACTGCACAGAAACAGCACTTCTATTTCATGGGCTGCCAGACATCATCGCCTTGGAGGAAGGCGCCCGGACGCTCAACGACTCCGTCCTCGGCCAGCGCCGGAACCCCGGGACGTTGGTTTTGAATCATTACGTGTTGGAAAGGAAACATCGGCACTCACCCTGCCGGAGTCCGCGAAAGGGAGGCCGGGTCCAGGCGCTCCCTAAGAAGCGAGGCAGAAGCGCTGTAAACCGAGAAAGAAGCCCCACGGGAGCCGCCATCTTTAAAATTGCGGAGGCGCTTCCTCTTCCGTTTTCAAAGTCCTCTCCCCTCATTGGTCCAAGACGGTATCCGACTCCGCCCCCCCCCGGCACTCTCCGGGGTTGGAAAAGCGCTGCTAGTGCTTCCCTCTCACCCGGCGGGAAGCCGTAAAGGTGCTTCCCCACCTCCCCAAAGTAGGAACTGGATTTTCTTGTTTTTCTTTGAAGACGTTTCGCTTCTCACCCCGAAAAACGTCTTCAGCTCTTCTTCAGCTTGGTTGAGAAGCGAAACGTCTTCAAACAAAACCAAAGAAAGTCCAGTTGCCCCTTGGAAAAAGCACCTTTGCAATCATGACCAGAATGGCTAAGAATCTCCGTAGACACCCGGCGGGAAGCTTTCCTTGGGGTTTAAAATGCCTTTGTATACATTTGAAGCTTAGCTTTTTCCGATACGACAGACCAGGATCTCATCCTTGAAAAGCGTTCTTAACGATGGGTTATGAAGCCCCGAGTTTCTACATGTTAAGGAATCCCTCTGTTTCCCCTATTGCAGAAGTCTCCAAACTTAGCAACTTTAAAGCTTGTGGACTTCAACTCCCAGTTTTGAAGTCCACAAATCTTAAAATTGCCAAGTTTGGAGAACCCTGCTCTATTGGAAGGAAGGATGGGACGCCTGCGGATTTCTCTTTCTGCGGGGATTTCGTATTTTGTAAATACAAGTTCTTAAGTTTAAACACCGAGATGCTGCTGTTTGTTAAGAAGCCTCAACAATATTAATTCTTAACACTGCTAATTGTGTTTTCTCAGACACAATTTTGAGGAGGGATAGGAAAAAGCCACAATTAACAGATACTTAGGCAAAGGAGAAATTTATTGGACTGCAAAAACTGCAAAAAAAAAAAAAAAAGTACTTAGGCCTACCTGAATGTGAAATTACTATCTCCAGCTTTGGAAAGATTGATTTTTTTTTCAACTGCAATATTTTCCCAACAAATCTGTACAATATTTTCAAGAAAGTGTAAATAATACTATACAATCGACAGTGCGGTTTTCAAATTTTACCACAGAAACAGGGTCAATTGTGCTCTACAGACTTTAATGATCATAGATTTGAAATGGCTGAATCAGACCTGGTTGCTAGAATCAGGAAATAACCAAATCTAGATGGTTGAGTCTCTATCAATGCATGAGGGAAAGAAAACAATTTACAAGGTCACAAAGTTTGAATAACTATTGTTAGAAAACAGTAACACCCCCTTAAAAAAATACTCCAAAAGCCAGACAATACTTGATTTCAATGCTATGCCTACTGGACACAAGGTAAAAAAAGGAAGACACATTTTCCTTTGTTGGACATTTGGTAGTCCTAGGAAAGGCGGAAAATCCTACATAAGGATTCATTCACACATCCCCCAAAAAGCAGTTTGAGGATGCCTTGCTAACAATTGCTTCAGGGCAGGTCCTTGAGATCTCTCTCCAGCCTTGTGGCAGAAGCAGCTTCACTGTAATTATCTTGCTCTTGTCATTAATCTCCATAGCAGTCTATGAAAAGAGTACATATTTAAGTAAGACGGATCTCAGTTGATGCTCCCTCTGAGACCTTCCTACTTGGTTGCATAGCCTTCCAGCCCAGGTAGGGGGAAATGGTTGGACACATGTCTGCCATTCACGAATAACGCAAGGCACAGCTTCAGGAGTAGCCCAACTGTGAAATGCTTGCAGAGTATGTTAAGGGATGTTAGCATGATGTGTGGGGGCAAGACTGGCATATAGAACTACTAGGTGTTTCACTGTCAGGTGATTTGAAACCTAAGGATGCTTTAGATCAGTATATTCAGCCTCAGCAACTTTAAGTGTGTGAAGCAGGTCCCAGAATTCTTTAGGCAGCATATTAAACTTAAATCTTAAAGTTGCCAAGATTAAGAAGTGCTTCTGTAGATTGCAAGACAGCAACTGTCTTAGCTAATATTTCAGTTCCCTTTGTGATGACTGGCTAGCTGACAATTAACAATTCTAAAAAATTAACAATTAACAATTCTAAAAAATTAACAATTAACAATTCTAAAAAAAGTTACAAAATAACTGCAACAGTGGAATCAGCAAAATTGTGGATGACAGTGCACTTTGCTTTCCCACTTCGTTCTCCATTTAATTTTCTTGTATAATTTAGGAAATAAATGGAAAGTAGTCTTAATAGTCATCTGGATTTTTGCAATTCTGATAGGGTTAAAATTTAGATAAAAAGTTGAATACCTCGACATCTATCCCTGTTTGCTTTTGAAAAACCACATTTTGTAATGTTTTAAAAATATATTTGATCTGAAACAATTAGGACAATTTGGAAATATATATACAGAGGATGGATCTTACTCCATCTTTCTACAATCCTTTAACAATAATTTTGACTTTTGGCCTTAGTTTTCCAACTGTATACTAAAATCAGGATAGATGCACCTGTAACCTAGTAAATGTAATTTTTGAAGATTCTTGTATAGAGTTTGAACCAAAGAATAATAACTCTTCATATAAACAGCTTAAAATTTTATCTGCCCAAATGACAAAGTCATTGTTTTAGAAATTGATATCAAAATATACCTCTTTTCCTAGTAAACTGGAATAGTTGGAGTTTTTGGAAACAAGCACACTATTAGATTTCTACATGGGAGAATGTCTATATGCAGTACCTTATGATAAATATTCAAGCTGAGCAAACAATTGTCCTTAGCTTCATGTGTAATTCAGGAAAGAAGAGAGAGATAACTCCTACTAGAGTAATGGAAAGAAATTTAAAAATGTCACACAGAAAATCATAAAATGGCAAGTGTTAACAGAAATATGGTTGCCTTTGCTTATGAGCAGCTCTCACCATCACCAATAGAACAGCAGTGATGATACTGTTTTTGGATTATTTGGATTATGAAGCAAGATGTGTCCATTATTTGAATCAAGGTGGGGAATAGGAAGGAAGCAACTCTCATCTCGTTTTAGTTCCTATTGGAGAGCTGGGTTAGTATCTTGTGCTTCCAGTAAATTTAGTTTTCCTGCAGACCTCTAGATGAAGCTCTGGGAGAACATAGTCTCATGCTCCATTGATCAGCTATTAACATTGCTCCATGTTGGATACCTCAGATTGCCTTCACATTTTCAAGAGTCCACAATTCTACCCTCCTTATCAATCTAGGGGACTAACAGGTTTGTCTCAATGTCTCTCTTGTTTATTTCTGCAGGTAAGTGCATAGGCCTGCCTTTTTTCATTCTAGCTGAGGTAAAAGATGTTATTCTTCAAGTGTTAAACATGTTCTGCCCAGCATAGTTGAATGCTCCATTTGAAAATTTCCCTTAGGCCTATCCTTTTCCTTTATACTTAGAAAGTTTGTTTTCTCTTATGTAAAACCACAGTTGCTTGAAGTCAGAAGTATCATCTTGCAGTTGACTCATGGCACAGATTAGCTTGCATTGCACTATGACAGCAATTCATTTTCACCACTGTTGACAAGGCAAGTAGCTACTTACGAGCCTAGTTTAATATATTTTTCATGGTTGTTGTTTCCTCTTAGTAGTGATATAATTAAGAGTGATTGTGCATAGAACGTCACCTAATTTAATGCAAATTAACTGTTCTTGTAGCAAATTGGAACCAGGAGAGAGCCTGAAACTTTATTTACTTTTCCTTATCTGATTGGAGTGGATTTTCTATTGGGATTGTTAAGTATAAGTAATTTAGTCCTCGGGCTAAAAACTCTATGCCAACTTGAGCAGAAAGCCCTTTAAAATATAAACTTATCGTATTCAGATCCCCCTCTCCCAGTTCTGAATTTGGAAAGATTATATCTTTAATCTTCCCCTGAAGAAGAAAAGAAAGAGAATCCTTGAGCTATTCCTTGTACATTGAAAGGAAGAAAAAAGGTGTACAGTTTTCTACAGTTATCTCCATCAATCGTGACTTGAGGGTATTGAGCCAGTAAAACTCTTGTTTTTTTAATAGGAACCTTAAGATGAATCCTGGAGAAATTCCATGACTCAACATTTTGGAAACAGGGGATACAGAACATGCCATATCCTAATATTTTTTACAAGGCTTTCCAGGAGAGTTCACTTTTCTCTAATCTTGTTTTGCTGAGAAAAATTGTTTTTGTAATATGAATGTTCAGGAAACCAGTTTTTATTTTTGTTAAGGAGCTTTGGAATGGGAACAATGACAATTACAATTACAGTCATCTATAGCTTGAAGCTTTTTTTGTGTGTGAAAACAGTGATGCATTAACTAGGTTTGATGGAAATCTAATACTTGAAAGATCACAGATTTCCTTATTTTGATCTAGATTATGGAAATCTATTGGTATTTAACAAGAGAAATAAAAATAAAATCAATTAATTATAAAATATCTAAAATATGTCATAGAAAAACAGGGTAGAATTATTTTAATTGGATACCAGAAAAGTTGGAACCAGAGAAAAACAAGTCCTAATGATTAAAACTGTCCATTAATTAAGAACTAATGGGAAATAGTGGAGCTTCTTTTACTAGACGTGTTTAAACTAAAACTGGATGACTATCTGTTGGGTAGGCTATGCGAGATATCCTTTTACTAGGTACAGGTTTGGACTAGATTATTATTTATTTTTATTTTATTAATCAAATTTATTCACCACCCATCTCACTATCTAAATGATTAATAAGCAATGATTTTCAAAGTCAATTCAAACATTTGCAGTCTGTGTTTTTATGATTCTATGAAAATACCTACGTAATGTTTTTAATGGTCTGAGATTTCATAACTTTGCAAAACATCAACTCAAAATCTCCTTGTCTTTGCAACCATTGATTTGAATTGCATTATTGGGTTATCTCTCTTTCAAATAGTTTAATACATGTTATAAACTAACATAATGATTTTGAACCAATTGAGGAAAAAACACAATACTCTTTGTTTCCCTTTCCAAAATTCTTGTCAGCTATGAAGATTCTCAGTTATCCAGGCCATAGCTGTATCAAAAGTGATTTTTATTTTGCAATCATTTGGACTGATTTTGAAGAAAAATAAAATGTTTTGGTTTTCCTCAAAATC